CACAGGCCTCAAAACCGCCACACCTGCGCCTCCCCGTCCGCCTTCGCTGCTCAAGTGTGCGCGCTTTGTCCTCCGAGACAGCCACCTCCGAACGCCCTCCCCAACCGCCCCGCAGCCGCAGCGCAGCCCGTTGTCCGCCTCGAGGGTCTTGACACCTCTGCGCGCTTCCCCGCTGTTGGGAGGACCCAGAGCGCGCAGCCCCGGGCTCCAATGCCGCGCATGCGCCCACGTGCCCAAGAGCCCCCACCCACCCAGGCCTGTCCCTTCTCACCGCCCACCTAACGCCTAGGTGGCCAGTCCACCTTCCCCGATTTCCCAACTGTTTCACTGCTTCCTCCTTCTGGCCTACTCCACAGTTACGAAACTCTCCAACTACAGAGACTAGGAGGGGAGTGAGATGCTCACCTTGGCTGCAACATTTAAGGGGACGCCAACTCAGTAATCAAGATAAATATTTTAATTACGTTTTAATTTCCAAATAAGATTAAATATAAAAATGTCATGAGGTGCTACATGGGAGGCTAAAGCAAAAGGGAAAAATCAGGAATCCTGACCCTGTTTTTATTAAAATTTTAAATTTTGTTCATCATGGATTTTTTTTTTGGTGTTTTAATTTTTTTCAATATTGCATCATTCAAAACAGTTTTTAAAAAATCTTCAGTCTGTGTATTTTGAGTTCTGAATATGTCCCTTAAATTTGGCGCTAGAAGTGAGTACCTTAGCCACTGTGTTCTCATCCTAGTGACTGCTCTGCCCTACTGTCACCTTCAGTATGGTAGTGGCAGAAAATCTAGAGAAGTACAAGGGGCAGGGCTGGGGGGCAGGCAGTTGGAGGGGATAGAAGGGAACTTCCATAATTCCAGAAGCAGGCTTGCCTTGTCCCAGGGCAAAGCCTCAGGGGAGGACAGGGAAGGGAGAGTTACACCTGTGAGCTGTTTACCGGCCCCTACCTTACTAATAAGTTTATCAATATTCTTTCTAATAAGTCATTATTACTGAGTACTTTCATCATTTTAATAATAATAAAGTAAAAAAACATCAATAACACCTAATAATACTAATATAATACTTGTTAATAATACACCAACCTGCTAAACACAACAAAATGATTTCATTTATGCCTCATCACAATTCTGGGAGGTTGGTTCTAATATTATTAATATTATCTGATTTTACAGTTAAAGAAACAGGGTCAAGGTGGTAAAGTCTCTTGTACATCCAGAATGTACAAGTGGTAAAACCAGCATCCAAATCCACACTAGCTGATCTGAGAGCCCTTTCTTGGGAATCACTAATCAAGAAGCTCCTAATCCTCTACCTGTGAGTGATTTGGTGGGGATTAGAATGCCAATTAAAACTTTAGAAACAAAATGGGATATGAGGACATCTGTTACAATGCATTACATCAATGAGTTAAACTAGGAAAACATTATATAGTTGGCACTTGAGCAATACATGTTTGAATTACACAGGTCTACTTCAGATTTTTTTATAAATACAGTACAGTATTATAAATGTATTTTCTCTTCCTTATGATTTTCTTAATAACATTTTCTTTTCTCTAGCTTATTTTAAGAATACAGTATATAATACCAAATACAAATTATGTGTTCATTGGTATGTTTATGTTATGCTTATGTTATCAGTAAGGCTTCTTGGTCAACAGTAGTTAAGTTTTTGGGAGTCAAAAGATATGTGTGGATTTATGAGGGGATGTGTTAGTACTCCTAACCCCCCTGTTGTTCAAGGGTCGATTGTAATCACTTCCATAAATCCCAAAATGTATATAAAACTCTTAACCATTCCAGATGAAAGCTCTTTCTAAAGTAGGCATAAAAGGGTGTTTATTTCTATGTCACTCAAAAGCATGCTATACCCCCCCCACAGCCTCAGCCAAGTGATATGACACCACGACTTCAGTGACCCCCTCTCCCTCTGGAACATCTGGGGCAGGGGGGTGTTTGTTGCACAACTGGATGGTCTACTTTCAGTCCATACCTGCAAAACCAGCTTCTAATCTAGATTCTGGATCACGTTCTATAGTTGGACATCAGACTTGTGCTGGTCACCTGGAATTCAGAACCAACCAGCCTCCCTAAAACCACTGCTGCTACCACCAATCTGCAGAGGAGGAAGAAGGCTGCCCTACCCTTTTAGGAGGACTTCTTCCAAAGGTGGTCAAACCAGAACTTCATGTTTGGCAACTAAAATTTTACTAAGGACCTGTGTGACCTTACCCAAAGCCATGTAAGGAAGATGATTTTAGGTAATTCCCAAACCCTGTCTTTTAAATAGTTATGCATTTATTTTAATGCAAATTAAAAATGATTAAAACAGCACATTAATCTCCAATCGTATCCTAATTTTGCTTCTACGAAAGCTAAAGAAGGTATTATAATTTTTAACAAAATATATTAAGTAAATGTTAAAAGAGATGTCATGAAGTATTAGAGCCTCCACAGAACCTGGCAGTTGGACTTCTGGTATATGTGGTCACCTAAAAATTCCCTTCTACCTGCCAGGTTATACAACTCCTGATCCCAGCCAGAGATATTGCATAACTTTCATTTTGAAAATGTTCTGGAGGGGCGCCTGGGTGGCTCAGTTAGTTAAGCGTCTGCCTTTGGCTCAGGTCATGATCCCAGGGTCCTGAGATCAAGCCCCATGGTGGGCTCTCTGCTCAGCAGGGAGTCTGCTTCTCCCTCTCCCTCTGCCCCTGCTCGTGTGCTCTCAATTTCTCTCTCACTCTTTCAAATAAATAAATAAAATCCTAAAAAACAAAAAAGAAAAGAAGAGGTTCTGGAGCTTCAGGACCAGTAACTACTCTGTGTCATTGGCCCCAACAGAATTAATTCCATCATGACCAATTTTCCCAGTGCTACTTTACTGAGGACCTGGGTGATGATACCCAAAGCTTTGTAAGGAAAATGATTTGAGATGATTTGCAGACTAGTCTTATTCCTACAGGATTTTCTAGAAACAAATACAGGATCTTTCTACTTAACCAAAGCTCAGTAATTTAATTAACAATGGAAGCAAATAAACATCTGGCTCTCCTATTTCATGTCTCTTTTGGTTAGTGAGTGTTTGGTTTTCCTTCTTTGCCCCTGGAGAATAACAGACCAAACTCCTTACTTTCTTTATACCTCTATATTTTTTTAAAAGATTTTATTTATTTATTTGAGAGAGCACAAGCAGGGGGAGGGGCAGAGGCAGAGGGAGAAGCAGAATCCCCGCTGGGCAGGGAGCCTGATGCGGGGCTGGATCCCAGGGCCTGAGATCATGACCTGAGCCAAAGGCAGACGCTTAACAGACTAAGCCACCCAGGCACCCCATACCTCTATATTTTTTAAGCCCAATAAATATGACACAATAATAACAACACAAATAATGGCCCATAAATGTTTCTGTAATCCCAGACCTGTGCTAAGTACATGATATATAGTTTATTGTGCCAAGACCTGTGCTAAGTACATGACATACAATTTATTTCATTGGTAAATATTTTGACACTTTCCCATGCACTGTCCTTTATTGCAATGTGACTATTTCCTAAAATATGCCCTACACAGCTCCCAACCTGATCTGTCTCCCAGACTACACTTTCACTCATCTGTTTCATCCTATACATTGGTGCAAGAATCATCTTTTTAAACAGTCAATTTTTTTGGAGTGTATTATTTCTTTTCAAAGAATCACACTTCTTAGCCTCCTGATTCCAAGAAGCATTCCCAGTTTTATCTTCTGGTGCTCCCAGACATTAGCTCCCACCCCAACACACACACCCTTGTTCCAACCCAACTCTGTCTGGCAAGACACTGTTCCCAAGGACTAGACAACATTCCTTCCACCCATAGGCTTCACCTGGCCTGAAGTGCCCTCTTCTTCTTTCTGCCAATGTAGTGTTAACCATTAGGAATAGAGTTCTGGAGACTGACTACAAGGGCAGATCCCAACTCCTCTGCTGATATGCTGGGTGACCTTGGACAAAGCCCTTCACCTCTCAGAGCCTCGAATGGATAGCACAGCTAAAAACACCTACCTACCACAGAGGTTGTTGTGTAATTCAGTGAGATGATGCACATAAAATGCATGGTGCGGTACCTGGTATATAATAAAGATCAATAACCTGTCCCTGTTATCATTGTTGTTGTTGCTGTTACCATTAATTTTATCTGGGGCCTTGATTTATTCCCCATCCTTCATAAAACCTTCATCTAAGCAATCAACGTCAAAATGATCTCTTTTCTTTGAATTATCAAACACATTTATTTTTCCTGTCACTGATTTGACAGCTAGAATTTACTGCCCTGCATTGTTGGTTACCTTCCTGTGCACATACTGTCTTATTTCCTCCTCTCTAGAATAAGCTCTTTGAAGAAAAGACCTAAGTCGTCTTATGCATTCTTAGACATTTTGGCTCTTTGTGTGACTGAGGCCATTACATCTTGTCCTGGGAACTTCCCCCTTTGTAAAAGGTGAAGGTTAGTTGAGTTAGCCCAAAAGAAAATTGTGCACTTAAAGCAGTCAGTAGTCTGGGATCTGGAGGTGGGAGTGGGAGTAGGAGGGAGGTTGGGATAAGGGACTCCAGGTAGGGACAGAACTGAAAAGAAATGATTTTTAAAATAACTATCTCCTTTCATCTAAGATCTCCTAGCAGCAGGTAATAATTTAAGAAAAAGGGAGCCTCCGCCACCGTTTGCCCTCCGCCTCCTCTTTCCCCAAGAGGACGACTTGGGGGTGGGGGGAGAGTGAGGGTGGGGGCGCCTAAGCCATTTGCAAGGAACGTGACTACAGCTAATTATAGGAATTGTGAAAGTGGACCCAAGAATACTAACTCCCAACCCACCGCCTGCACTGCGATTCTGGGGAATCCATAGCTGGAGGGGACCCAGCTCTACCTACCGAGGCCAGAGGTGGGGCGGGGGGGGCGGGGCGCGGTTGGCGGAGACCAGCGTTGCTCCGCCCCCGAAGCTGGGCGGTGACCAGTAGGTGGCTCCGCAGCGCTGCGCGCTCATATAGGGAGCAGCCCCGGGAACTCGGAGTGCTGTGCCCTAGTGAAATTAGAAGGTCGGTGGCGAGATGAGCCGGGCGCCAGCGTTCCTGAGCGCAGCCGAGGTGCAGGAGCACCTTCGCAGCTCCAGCCTCCTCATTCCGCCGCTGGAGGCGGCTCTGGCCAACTTCTCCAGCGGCCCCGACGGAGGGGTCATGCAGCCGGTGCGCACCGTGGTGCCGGTGGCCAAGCACAGGGGGTGAGTGAGGAAGGCCGGGGCTAGGGGCTGGAGAAACTGGAAAGATGGAAGGGGAGGCATGCGAAGGGAAGCGGCGGGAGAAAGGAAGAGAGGGCTTGCCTAATCATTGCTGGTTACAGCTGCCACCTAATATTTGCGCTAGCCACTGCGTCAAGTGGACGCTTTACAGGGATTTATCTTGTTTAATTCAACACATTCTCCAGATAGGTAGGTACTGATGCAGTCGTTTTACTGATGGGGACAATTGAGACTCAGAGAGGTTAAGTGACTTACCCTAGGTGACATAGCTAGTTAGTGGCAGAACTAGGATGGTTTTTCTCATCCAGAGCCAGACTCTTGAACCTACTCTGCATACTGTCTAAAGGAAGGGCAGAGGAATGGGGGGAGGGAGGACAGTAGGGCAGTGACAGAGGAAAGAGAAAGGAAGGTATACGGGGACTTGACAGGACACCCCAGTATTGGTAGGAAGGAGTTGAAGCTACTCCCTCTCTCCTTGTAGCTTCCTGGGGGTCATGCCGGCCTACAGTGCTGCAGAGGACGCCCTGACCACCAAGTTGGTCACCTTCTACGAGGGCCACAGCACCGCCTCCATGGTCCCCTCCCACCAGGCCACTGTGCTGCTCTTTGAGCCCAGCAATGGCTCCCTTCTGGCGGTGAGCAAACTCCCTGCCCTGGGGTGAAATGGGGCCCCTGGGCCCAGAGCTAGCCTCAGAAGTTAGTTCTCTGAGAGAGCTGGGTGGAGTTTTGATTGTGACCACACATGCCTCTGTATGAGTGATGTGATGTCTCTGGATACCAGCAATGGTAAAGGTTATCTGTGACCATATATCTGTTTCTAGGACTGCCTGAAGATGCATAATCCAGCACCAGAGCCCACTGCTGCTTCAAGTATGTGACAGACAGTGTGGAAGTAATAATCTCATCATTCTTGTAGATGCTCTTGTCCTGCACCAGTTACTCCAATATACAGTTTGATCAAACTCAGTAGCCAAGGCAACATTTATTTAGTGAATCTCTATAATGTGGAAGAAAAGGAGTGTCCTGTAATCCCTGGGAGTCTTCCCTGAGAGATACACAGTACCTGTTTTAACATTTAATGATAGTATCAAAATAGAGCAGTAGCCCATTTAGGGAGCACTTTGTATGTGTCAGGAATGGTTCTGAACACTTTACATGTATTAACGCTCTTAATACTCAGAACCACTCTATGAGGTAAGTAGTAGAATTTGCCCCTATTTTATAGATGAGGAAGCTGAGTCACAGAGCAATGATGCCCATCTTATCCAGGTTTACATAACTAATAAGTGGCATGGCTGGATTTCAGACCTGCTCAGCCCAAGTCCATGCTCTCCGGACACTATGTCTACTACCTTTCTAACTGCCACTTACTGAGCACTTACCGTGTGCCAAGGAAGAGAAATTGATCTCAGTTATGACAACATTCCTCTATGGGAGTTTTTAATTCACACACACCCCCCTCCCAGTTTCTGTTGAGGTCCCTGAGGCTCAGAGTAGTTGAGCCACTTTGCTTGAGGTCACACAGCTGGTTCGTGAAAGGCCCAGGGAACCATTGCTAGACCTGGCTGACTATGGAAGTTGTACTCTTTACTCATGTGCTCTGTGCCCCCTACCCTGCAAGCTGGCTCTGAGACCAGGCAGTTGACTTGTTATCAGGAACAATCTCCTTGATTCTACCCAAACCTCCTCTGGATCTTTAAATCCTCCTCCCCTGCATTTCAGGCTCCCCAGGGAATCTGGCTGTATACATTACACTTCAGTAGTGGTTAGGAGTGCCCCTTGCTCACTGTCTCTCTTCTCCTCCAAGGTCATGGATGGAAATGTCATAACTGCAAAGAGAACAGCCGCGGTTTCTGCCATCGCCACCAAGGTAAGACTGGTGCCAGGCTGTACTGTGAAGGTTTGCTGGAGAGTAGGACTGGGTGTCTACAGCTTGAAAGCCTAAGGGAGATGTGAGGAACTTATTTCGGTGTTCCTTTGGACATAGTTGGAACTCCATATGGCAAATATGGGATGTCAGGTGAGCACAGTGATTCATGAAATTTTTAGCTACCATTTAATGAGCACTACTAGACTCTAGGTACCCTACATAAAATATTCCCGATCTTCACATCAACCTTGCAAAGTAGATATGATTATCTCCATTTGCCAGGTTTAGTGAATGTGGCTCAGAGAGGTTAGGTGAGTTGCCCAAGATCACACAGCTACTAAGTGGCAGAGCAAGAATTTAAAATTTGATGTCTATGACTCCCAGGACTGCTTTGTGGCCCCCGTACTACACTGTGGTACACAGTGTGGTTGCCCCATAGGCCAAAGCCAAGAAGCCGAGGGGCAGCTAAAGAGATCTGAGCAGACTCATGTATTCATTCAGCTAGTACTGCCTGAGCTCCTACCATGTGTTGGGCCCTGTTCTAAACATCAGGGATATGGCAGTGTACAAAACAGACATGAGAGGTGAGACAATAAACAAGATGAAAAGTTTGATTTGCCAAGAAAATAATTAACCAACAACAAATCCCTTTTGAGTTTAATAATACACTAAGATTTGCTTTAAAAAAAAAAAAAACCCACTACCAGCAGAAAACAGTGTGCTGGATGACAATAAAGCAGAATCGAGAATATTGGGGAGGGGTGACATCCCAAATTGTCCAGGGAGGACCTCACCCACCCAGAAAGTGACATTTGAGGAAAGACTGAAGGAATCTAGTGAGTGAAGAGGGGAGGGGGACACTCTCCAGGCGGAAGAGAAAGCAAGTGAAGGGGGTGGTGAGGTTCCCAAGCAGTGTCAGGGCATCCTACAAGAAAAACAGTATTTTTAGAGGTTAGGGTTAAGAAGAGGAGGCTTGGAAAACCGGGTGTCTTCACATGAAATGGAGAAGTCAAAGGTCTGCTGATGCTGGTTTATGACGCCTGAGCATAAAGGAAGTGTGGGACGTGGGGAGCAGCAAAGACCAGGTGTTCAGATCGTGAGAGTGTTAAGATCTTCTAAACACAGGATGGGGAGGGAAGAATGTGAGGATTAATCTGGTAACTGTGTAGAAAGGGGGCAGACTACAGTACAGAGCTGGACGAACTGGTTTTTTGAATTATGTCCAGACCCAACTCAGACTGAGATGATCAAAGGACTCCTTGAGGTATATATGTTCACTGGTACAGTACTGCCTTACATTTGTTTGTAAAGGTCTTGTCAAAATAATTTCCAACCCATTGTCTTGACATGTCTTTGGGTTTCTGTGAGGAAGGCAAAGAAAGCATTATTGACCTCATTTGATGTGGGAGGAGATGGAGGCTAGTGCTTCCCCGAAGTCACGTAGCTGCGGGGTCTTCCGAGGCCACCTGGTCTTCTTGGCCCAGGTCTGTGGTTTTCATCCCAAGCTTGGCAGCAGCATCACCTGGGGAATATTTTTAAAAATTCAGATCCCCAAACCACAGATCTGAAATCACTGTGGGGGGAGGCCCAAGACACTAGTTATTTTTTTCAATCGTCTCTGGTTAATTCTGATGATCAACCAGGTTTGGAAATCAAACTCTTTTTTTTTTTCTTAATATTTTTTAAATATATTTATTTGAGAGAGAGAGAGAGGGGGAGCATGAGCGAGGTGAGGCGCAGGGGGGGAAAAGGCTTCCCACTGAGCAGGGAGCCCAAAGCCAGGCTCAATCCGGGGACTCCAGGATCATGACCTGAGCCAAAGGCAGATGCTTAATCAACTGAGCCATCCGGGCGCCCTGCAGAGACCAAACTCTTATAGCATCCAGTTACACTGTACTTTTTTGCATTGATAAAAATCTGCAGTCCCACAAGAGTTGAGAATCATTGAGTTGATGCTTCAGAGCTTAGGCTGAAATGTCACAGCTTTATGCCCAGGGATGCAGATGGGTTATTTCAATAAGGAACAAAGGGTCTGTTATACTTTTTTGCCCTGGAATAGAGAATGTTTTCTTTTCTACCACTTCTCTTTCATTTAGCGCTTCAGGAAGGAAGATGAGACGTATAGGCAGTTTTCAGGCCTGGCAGTCACTGTAACTTCTTTGCATTTGGGTTGAACATAACCTGGGTTGAGGACTCTGACATGCTTTCTCAAGGTGACAGTATATATGAGGGTTTATCCCTGGCATGCATTCATTCAACAAATATTTGAGTGCCCATCAGGAGCCAGGCCCAGTGCTCAGCCTGGGGCGTAGAATGGTGAGCAAAACCAGATAACAGTACCTGCCGTCATGGAACACAGAGTCTATTTGGGGAAACAAATATTAACCCAAAGATCATACCAATAAATGTGAAACCGCAACACTGACAAATACATTGAATGCAAGAGATGAAGTGCTATGAGAGTGTATAACAGGGGGTCTTTGGGATTTGGGAAGGCTTTTCCTGTGTAAAGAATATCTGAGCAGAAATTTGAAGGTTAGTAGGAATTATTTGTGCGGGACAGAAAGGAAAGTATTCTGTGAAGGGGAAAGAACCTGTCCAAAGGCCCTGTGGTTGATGGAAGCACATGTGCTTGGGAATCTGCAAAGAAGATGAGAGGCTGAAGGACAGGAAATGCAAGGGAGCAGGGGAGCATGGCCTGAGGGGGGCTGGAGAGATGGCAAGGCTAGACTGATGCAGTGCTATTCATTAGCAAATGCAGATGAAACACACACTTTCAAACTTTACCGTAAGAAACCTAGCAGATTCATATACATGTTTTTAATTATCTGCAATGGGAAAAGAGTGAAGTGCCACTGGTGCTGTTATTTTTTCAAATAAATCTTATAAATGTTATACTATTTAGAGAAAGGGATGTCAATGGTAACCTTATTACCAAGGCAATAAATTATCAAGACAACCAATCAGAATTAGAGATTTAGTTTCAGAAGCTGAAGATTACTTTTACAGGACACTGCAACCATTTCTGGAACCCACGTATACTTCTAAGAATAGATTCATATTAACTGAGAACAGAAAAACAAACTGATTTAGTTAAGGAAAGATCATCTAATTCTCCTTGTTGCGTAAGAGCATAAGACTGAGAGTTGTGTGGATATTATAATTCCGAAAACTTTTCAAGTCAGATAACTTTAAACGATATTTTATGGCACAAAATGGTATCTCTCCTTCTGCAGCTAAAGGAGAGATGAACATCTGCTCACATTTCTGAGACTCCGTTTTGCTAGTAATTAATAATTCAAGAGATTTTCACTTTTAAGATTACATTCCAGAAACGCTATAATTAACATTGTAAGAAAGAGTAGGCCCAAGGAACTCAAATTTTACTAAATGAAATAGAGAAAAGGCAAAAGAGGGTCTTATTTAATATGGATGGCTTGAGGGGCAAGTGATATCCTCTGTACCAGTGGTTCTCAACGCGGAATCATTTTGCCTCCTGCCTCAAGGACATTTAGGCATGGGAGACATTTTTGGTTGTCACAACTAGGGGCGGTAGGGGATGCTGCATCTAATGGATAGAGGCCAGGGGATGCTGCTAAACATCCTGTAATGCACAGGACAACCCACCCACCCACCCCGGCCAACAAAGAATTATCCAGCCCAAATGTCAGTTGTGCTGAGGTTTAGGAACCTCACTTTATTTCTTATATGTAATAGTAGATATGTGCCAAATCTGTGCACATAAGACTCTCTCTGTCCTCATGGGCTTGCAGACCGGGACAAGAAAATGAATCTGTAAACAAATAAGCGCTGTCAAGTGGTGACTTGTCCCAGGGAGGTCAGAATGACTTCACTGGAGAGGCGACACTTGATAGCTGTTGATCATAAACCCCACTCCCAAACACAGGAGAAAGAATGTGGGCTTTGGAGAATGAGAGATACGGTTTGGAGCCCCAAGGTGCCATTTCATAGTTGTAGGCCTCTGAGCAAGTTACTTAACCTCTCTGGACCCCAATTTCTGCATCTGGAGGAAGACTATAAAAGTCGGAGTGCCTAGCTCACAGGGTCATTGGCTGCTCTAAATGTGATCATGAGGGTAAAGCATTGGCATATATGAGGTGCTCAGTGAAGTCTCCTTCCTCCTTTCCACACTCCATAGAGGGAAAATTGAAACACAAAATGCCATCTCCTTCAATGCCCAAGAGACAGTGAGGGAGCTGAAGATAGGGCGGAAGGCTCCTGATATTCAAACCGTATCTGTCCTTCACCTGGCCATTGCTTCTCCCTTGACCTTTGCCACCTCGCTTCTCTCCAATAGTTTTTGAAACCACCCAGCAGTGAGGTGTTGTGCATCCTTGGGGCTGGGGTCCAGGCCTACAGCCACTACGAGGTCTTCACAGAGCAGTTCTCCTTTAAGGAGGTAAGTCCAGGGAAGGTTGGGGGAGAAGAGGGGAGGGAGCAGTCGGGGCCTTTATGTCTTCTCCTTCACTGCGACTCGGGCTATTCTGAAATAATCAGGTCGAGAGTCTGATCTAGACCACTCTTTTAATGACTTGCCCGGAAGTCCCGTTGGAGGCGAAGAGACCTGAATCACCTGTCTCCAGTTTCTCCATTCCTAGGGTATGCCAGAGGATACAGCAAACCCGCATGGTTAAAGGATTATATTATATCCATTATATACATTCAGTTTTCCTTCCGGTCCCTCTCTGTGCTTCTCTGAGGAGAATCTGGGAGTCTTTAGGTATTCATGGGTATGGGCCCACAAACTGAGAATGAGGCCTAGAGGGCAAGAGACCACGGCACCCTGCTTCCACAGCCCAGATGTTGGTCCACTTTTCCTCAGTCATGCCTCCCACTTCTTATGGGAACGTTTGATGCTACTTTTATTTTTGTACGTGTGTGAGAGGGATAGGGCAGATTTAAAATACGATATTTTTTATTTTATTTTTTTTTAAGATTTTAGTTATTTGAGAGCGAGAGAGAGCACAAGTGGAAGAAGGGGCAGATGAAGAGGGAGAAGCAGACTGCCCTCTGAGCAAGGAGCCCCACACAGGGCTCGATCCCAGAATCCTGGGATCAGGACCTGAGCCAAAGGCAGATGCTTAACCGACTGAGCCACCCAGGCGCCCCAATATGACATTTAAAAAAAAAAAGATTTACTCATTTTAGAGAGAGAGAGAGAGAACATGGGGTAGGGAGGGGCAAAGGGAGACAGAGAGAGAGAGTATCTCAAGCACGCTCCCCGCTGAGCAAGGATTTCCCCACGCAGGGCTCAATCCCACAACCCTGAGATCATGACCTGAGCCGAAATCAAGAGTTGGCGGCTCAACGGACTGAGCCACCCAGGCACCCCTTAAAATATGACTTTTTAATGATAAAAATAATACCTCTGCTTTGGCAAATATAGACTATAAGGAAGAACAAAGAAAAATGCCTTTTATCTGTTTTCAAAGATAAGCAGTTAACACTTTCCAGTCCTCTCATTAGCTTTTCATAAAGTGGTTTCCATCATGTTAGATATACCCAGTTGTATATCCTGTCTTTTCATGAGATGTTCTAACACCATCACTTTTCAGATTACCCATTTTTTGTATCTGTTTGCATAATTTTTTATCAAGAAGGGTGCTCTGGGTAACCATTCTCCCTTGATAGGGCATACTGTATTGTTTTTTACCTTGGTTGATGAACTTAGGCATAACATTTACTTCTGTATTTCTTACGTTTCCTTATGAGAGATTCTTTAGTCCTTGTTTTCTGTTGAGGGTCGACAACCCCCACTCCACACATGGAAGTCTGCTAAGCAAGCTAGCGAGTCTCCACCTCCTGGTGAGGCTAATGACCCGGCTCCCACCAGCATCGGCCAGGATTCTAACTATAGCTACTACTTTTGACTTTTTCATCCCCTGCACTATTCACTCCTCAAACCCTTCTGATCTTCAACCCCCCACATACCCTTCAGAGATCAAGTTATTCCACACACAGCGCTGCCATAGAATCCCACATCCGCTAGGACTCCTTTACAGAGTCTCGAACACGAAGTGAGAGCTTGATGCCGACTGTGCCCAGTTACCATGTACGTTTTGTAGACATGAAAACTTAGGCTGCGTGAGGTTAAGTCATTTCAGGAGTGAGCAGTATGTGATAGAGTGAGGATTGATTCCAAGCCTGTCGAGCTCCAGAACTTGCCCTGCTAATTTTTAAGTTATGTAGTAGCTATTAAGCTATGGAGGCTGGGTATCCCTGGCTAGAACTGAAAAACTGCCCCCGCTTCTTGCAAGGAGAAAGGGGTAGAGAAAGGTCATTTTCAAATATTTGGTCAAGTGTCTGCCCCGATTAATGCTGTGCCCTTGATCAAATGTTCTTTCTCCATAGGAGATGATTTAAATAACCACAGCCCTTATCCCCAGAGAGGCTCAACTTTCCCCTGGTACCCCTGGGCTTGATGAAACTTAAACAGCCAAACAATCATGGCACCAATGTCCCTCTTGTTACCCCCCAATGAAGGTGAGGATATGGAACCGCACCAAAGAAAACGCGGAGAAGTTTGCGGACACGGTTCAAGGAGAGGTACAGGTGTGTTCCTCAGTCCAGGAGGCTGTGACAGGGGCAGATGTGATCATCACAGTCACCATGGCAACAGAGCCCATTTTGTTTGGTGAATGGGTGAAGCCAGGGGCTCACATCAATGGTAAGTAGAGTGGCTCCATGAGCATGGGTAGGTGGTGGCCCGAGTTGTCCCTAGGCTGGACCAAGTGGGTGCATCTGCAGAGCTGTTTTACCCATGCGAAATGACCAAACTTTTTAAGGTCCTCAGAAACATGTGAGCCTTGGAAAACAATATGCACTCAAAAATATGAAACAAAAGTCACAAGCCTGAAACTTATAATAAATTTAATTAAAGCTCTATAAAATGTAACATTATGGCAAGTGGTCAGTCTCAGCTAAGTTCTTAAATGTAATGAAATTTAAATCACAAAAGCCAAATGATTCATTCTTTCTTAACAATACTTAGAATTAACCCCCCCAAAAGTTTTTTTTTTTTTTTTAAGATTTATTTATTTGAGAGAGAGAATGAGACAGAGAGAGAGAGCATGAGAGGGGGGAGGGTCAGAGGGAGAAGCAGACTCCCTGCTGAGCAGGGAGCCCGATGCGGGACTCGATCCCGGGACTCCAGGATCATGACCTGACCCGAAGGCAGTCGCTTAACCAACTGAGCCACCCAGGCGCCCCCCCCAAAAGTTTTTTAATTACAGCACAAAAGATATTTAATGTGACTTGTGGATGCTCCTTAGTATGTGTGCTCAGACAAGCGGGAATCCAAACATAAGAGTTCCTGGGGCTTCTGAAGATTCTCAAATGGCTCTGGAGGTTACAGCAAGAACTGGTCTATATTAAATACTTACCATTGCAGGTGCTGTTCTAAATTCTTTATTTGTATTCTATCATTCAGTCCTTACAACAACCTTATGAGGTAGGAGCTATTGTTATCATGACCCTCATTTTATAGGTGGGCAAACCAAGGCATGGAGAGATTAAGTAACTTGCCCAAAGTCAGAGGTACTTAGTGGTAGAGCTGGGATTTGAACTGGGGCGATCTTACCCTCAGAGCCCAAGCTCTTAAATTATGTTCTATATTATCTTACAGTAAGAAGACTGGACTCTGGTGTGTAAGGAGGCAAATACTAGGGATTTAAACATGTTATCGGTGCCCTATGTTTTAGTGACAAGCATATGATGTGATCTCAAAAGCTAAGAATTCTGTACACACTGGCAGATGAGCAGGCAGGAGCCAAGTGTCATGATTACGCATCTAATCATAAATGTGTACTGAATTCCTACCATATGCCAGGCACTGTTCTAGGTGCTGGGCAGACCAAAATAAGCCAGCACTCAAGGTCATTGCTTTCCTGGTACTTACATTCTAGGGAGGGGAAATAGGTAACAAACAGGTAAACGAATAGATGAACTGATGGTTCCAGCTAAAGATTAAGTTCTGTGGAGGAGACAAAAGTGTGGCATGTCCCTGGAATGGGCCAAAATGAAGTGACGGTCTCAGCCCGTGTGGGACTGGTGTTATGATGTGGATCCAGGGGTAGGTAGGCAAGAGATGGGTCAGTTCTGGCTTTCTGGACAGTAACACCATTTGTGGAAGGTCATTGGAAATCATGAGAAACCAGTTCTTGGTGAAACAGACGAGAGCTGAATCTTCAGCAAGACAGACTTGATTTTTTTTTTCAGCCTAAAGCAGCACGTATTTATTATCTTGCAGTTTCTGTGGTTTGGGGAGTCTGGGTAGGGTTCAGCTGGGTCCTCTGCTCACGCAAGAGGGAAATCAAGGTGTTGTCCGAGCTTCGGTCTCATCTAGAGCCCAGAGAACCTCTTCCAGGCTCAGGTGGTTGCGGCAGATTCTTTACATTGTAGGATAAGAGTGCCCGTTTCCGGGGGGTGGCTCTCAGCTCCCAGAGGCCGCCTACGTTCCTTGTAATGTGGATGCTCCATCTTCAAAGCCAACAACAGGGAATCTCTCTCACACTGTGAATCTCCAGGAAGAGCTGCCTTGATTGTGAGTCAAGGCATCTCTTCTGTTTCCCTAGCCTAAAGACAAAATTGGTTTATGTGTTTACAGAGGCATCAAATATACTTTAGGAAAGTATGTTACCAGTGCGGCTGACAGGGAAACACCAACAACAGATTTTACTTACTTTGCAACTTGGCTAAGAGATAGGCCCAGTTCCACCCTCGCTCGCGTTTCCCTCATCCTGCCCCCACACGCCCCCTTCCCCAGCCAGGGTCTGACCCTCGCCCCTTCTAGCTCCCCTGAAGCAAGGCCAGGGCCCAGTCTAAATCAGGCCCCTCCCTTTGCTGCCTGGCCCACCTCCATCTGCCCAAGTGGCCTCACAACAACCCTTTGAGAACTCGCCCTGCTCAGAAGAACTGGGGCAGGGAGGGTTTGGGGGGAGACACAAGGCCGATGAGAAGAGGTGGCTTGAGAAGCTAGGGTTTTTCCCACCAGCTTATGATTTATTTACGAGCTTCATTTAGTTCATGCTTTTGTTCTATAGAGCTCCGCACACAAGTGACCTTCAAGAAGGACATTTTTACACCCCTCTCTTTGAAAATTAGAGTGAGGGACAACAGCGGGAGCAGGAACAAGCAGAGAAAACTGGACGCAGTGTGAGAAGGCACATAAATGCTGCCTTACGTTGGCATAAGGCTTTATAGCGGTTACCAAAGACTAGCTGGCCATGGCTGGATCCAACCAGCAGATGTGTTTTGTTTGGACCATAGTGTGCTCTAAAAATCAAGAAATAACACATGCAAATAGATTTCCTGCTTCTCTTTAAAAAAAAGAAAAGAAAAAAAAGGAGGAAGGGGAGACTAACGGCAGCCCTGCATTCCCACATGGCCACAATTAGCCAGAGCTGAAGGATGATTGCCTTCTTGACAAGGGCCTGCTTTCTTCTGTGAACTTAGGTCTCCACCATTTCCAGTGCAGTCCCTCTGACCAGCTTTGCCCCTGTCCATTACCTTCCGGGCCCTGCAGGCATTTGGTCGCAGCCTCCACCTTATCTTTTGTGCCAGGAGGCATGATTCCTTGGATTCATTATTATGCCCCTGAGCTCTCTGCAAAGGATGTGAAATCTCGGCGCCAGGATGGAGCCAGTTTCCTCTTTATCAGGGCTTCTCCATGACCCTGGTGCTGGGCTCTTCTGTCAGGAGTTAAGAGAGAAATAAATGGTTGGGGGTGAGGAATGAGAATGATTCAAGAGCAAGCAGATCGACAGAAGACGGGGTAGGAATAAGCTGTAGGTGATGTCTCTGTTTCAGGGTTCTTGTAAAGAAGTCGCTGCCCCGGATAAATGGAAGAGGTGTGAAAGGCAGGGCTCCCTCTGAGCCATTGGGTGCACGTATCAGATACAGAACCATGGCAAGCACCTTCACTTCTTTGAACCTCTGTGTGTGCATCTTTTAAGTGAGAATCAGACACAAAGCGTACTTGTGAGGACTATAAATAATATGTGTGAAACATCCCACAGCTAGTAGGCAACCAATAAATGAATGCTAAGTTGCCTCAAAATCTTTTAGAAAGATCGTGATATGAAGTGCAAAAAAAAAAAAAAAGGCAGGCATTCTTACTGATGAGGGTTCATTCTTGCTGATTGGAAGGGGTTGGCATGGGGAAATGGGGCATCCCAAATCTGAATGTTCCCATGTGTCCTAGCTCACCTCCTTTCCCCCACCCCTCTTCCATTCTTTGGCATGTGTAGTGTCCCTTGCCACTATTTCTGGGCTCACGGTCTGTTTTGCTGTCTCTTAGCCATCGGAGCCAGCAGACCTGACTGGAGAGAGCTGGACGACGAGCTGATGAAACAGGCTGTGCTTTATGTGGACTCCCAGGAGGCCGCCCTGAAAGAGTCTGGAGATGTCCTGTTGTCAGGGGTGAGCGCCTCTTCCTGGCAGGATGCTGTCCAGCTGGGCTCACAGGGATCCCAGGGTTTCATTAACCTCCCCTTCCACTAGACTGCTCCAGACCTCGGTCACCCCCACCTCATTGGGGGGGGTGCCAGCTCCTAAAACATCTCTCAACCCTTTCTAATCCCCTTCTGAAGTAATGTGGCCATTGTGGTATTGACATGTGTTTTCCTGTCCCCTTTGCCTGGAGAGAGCAGCCTGATGGATTTTTCCGTCAGACTGAGCGAGCTGTCCTATAAGGCAATAAGATTGGGAGATAAGTGCCTGGATACCTTTGCAATGTGGCCAACAAGATAGGACTGGGGTTGGCCACTTTCTGGCCTTATTCTTTTGTAGTCAGAGCATAGGAGCGAGAAGAGGGCTGCCAAAATGAGTGTTTAGATAAGAACATGCTGATTTTCTCACTGACACACTGTCTTGGCTAGACATTCTGCCGGCCACAAACTTATATCTCTACATTCGTGGTATCATAAAGGCAGATACTATGCAAAAAAAAAAATATATATATATATATATATATATATTTTTTTTTTTTTTAACGGGGTAGCCAGTTTACACATGGTCTTTTGTCAAGTTTCTCCCTTACCCAGTTGTGGGTGCCCTCCCTGCCCTCCCTCAGAAGCTGGCTGGAGTGGACATTGGCTCCATGGCCTGGGTCAGTGTGTGTTCATTTCACAGGCCGAGATCTTCGCTGAGCTGGGAGAAGTGGTGAAGGGAGTGAAGCCAGCACACTGTGACAAGACCACGGTGTTCAAGTCTTTGGGTAAGGACTCTAGATCCCAGAGCATACATCCAGCCAGAGCACAGGGCAGGTTTGCCCATTGGTGGAAAGAGGAATGAGTCACCCGACTCCGTAGCTGAGTCATGAAATCCGTCATTTGGGTCAGTTATTTACATGTCTTAGATTAGTGGGTAAGCCCGTGAACTCTGGAACTGGGTGGTCCTGGGCTGGCTTTCCTTCTCTGCTACTCCCTGGACATGCATCCTTGGGCAAGGGACCTCAGCTGTCTAAGCCACGGTCTCTTCACTGCCTGTTAGCTCCAGTGTTTATGAGAATTCAGTGATGTGTGTGTAAAAGGATTTGCACATAGCAAGTGTCAGCAGTAAACCATTTAGACTTAGATCTAAATGAAAGGCAGAAAAATCAAATAAGATTAAAAACAGAGAGGGAGACAAACCATTAGAGACTCTTAATCATAAGAAACAAACTGAGGGTTGCTGGAGGGGTGGGGGGGATGGGGTAATAACTTAGTGATGGGCATTAAGGAGGGCATCTGGTATAATGAGTGCTGGGTGTTATATAAGACTGATGAATCACTAAACTCTACTGAAATTAATAATACACTAGGTGTTAACTAATTTGAATTTAAATAAAACCAAAAAAATAATAATAAAATAAATGAAAGTCAGAAGGTATCCTTCAGAGGTGGGGGTGGGGGATAAAGTTGTTACAAGACAGGGAGCTTAAGGGAAGTGGAAGGGAGACCCACTGGAAGAGACCCACGCAGAAAGTACAACCTGAGACCTCTTTTTTTCCTTCCTTCCCCACCCTCCTACTTGCTGATTTGAGAAGGGCTGCCATGGGGAGCCCTCTTGCCACCAGAGTTGTGCAGGCAGAAGCCCAACCAAGGACGGGCTCCCAGTGGCCGGTCTGCCCCTCAGCCCCACCAGATCTAAGGAAATGGACACACATGGTAACGAGCTGATAGTCAGCTGTTACACCTAAAATACTGAAATTCTCCCAAACTGGTTGATAAATAGTTGCTTCCCTGAGCCCCTCAGAAATGTCTTCTGCCCCGCTCTCAAGATCTTCCCTATTTCCTATGATCAAGCACCCAAAGCTTTAATGCTTGGCAGAACATTAAGAGTGCTCTGGCCCCCTAGCATCCATGTCAGTCAGTCAGTATCCATGCCTTGCCGGCTTTTAAATATTTTAAAAATCTCTCATGCACAGAGAGACAGGCAAAAGCAGTATAAACTTTACCCAGTGCCTGGTTCAAAGACATTATACTGATCCAGTTGTGACAGAAAGTTTCAGAGTTCAGAGCAGATCAGAAGTCAGCAACCCCTTCAGGAGACAACACTACAGGTCTGCTCTACCCTTTTTGAGCAATATTTGTTTTCTTGCTTTGGGGATTGTTTTATTGGCACATCTTTTCATCTAGCAGATGCATATTAAACACTTATTATGTATCAGACTCTACTGGGTGTGGTGGTGGCTATGAAAATTAATAAAAATCAGCCCCTGTCCTTTGAGAACATACACCCACTTGAGGTTAAGTTATGTATCCCAAACAAGACAAGTGGGGTTGCTGAAGGATGCACGGTTTGGACTAGACCAAGGGTCCACAAACAATAGCCTGTGGGCCATACTAAGCCCACCACCTCTTTTTGTCCTGCCTTCAAACTAGGAATGGTTTCTAATGAAATGACTGGGAAAAAAACAAAAGAATAAGAATATTTTATGACAGATGAAAATTATATAAAATTCAAACTTCAGTGTCCATAAAATTTTATTGGAACGTGGCCAGGCTCATTTGTTTACCTATCATGTAGGACTGCTTTTGCAGTACAATGGCAGAGTTAATTGCAAGAGACCATAGGGCCTGCAAAGCCTAAATATTTACCAGCTGGCGCTTTACAGAAATTTTTCTGACCCCAGAACTAAACTTTGAAGGACACTTAAAAAAATGTGTTTGGTGGGCATTGCTCACTTAGCATCTTTTCCCTGCCTCACCCTCTCCCTTCACAGCCCTTCCAAGCCTAAGCTCACCTCTGGATATCAGTCCGTGTTACCCCCATGAGCATTAGCAGCACGGACCATGTATTGGGAAACTGCCAGTCACAGGGCCTGGGCTGTTCCAGGAAAAGTTGTTCTGACAAAAAGTGAGCCACATTTCTGTCCATTCCAGGAATGGCGGTGGAAGACATGGTTGCAGCCAAACTAGTGTATGATTCCTGGTCATCTGGTAAATGAAATGAAGGAACTTTGCATTGAGGTAGAAGCTACAGCTCAAGGGATGTTGTTACCAGCTGTCTTGCAATTTCTAGATCAAATGAGGGAGCCCAGCGCCTAGTGAGCTATCGTTTTGAGCTTATTGTGTCTTACCTTAAACAATGAGATCCCCATTTGTGTGTGTAGTTGGAAAGCAAAACTAGGTGGCCATTTCTTCTGTTTCACCCAATTATAGTAATACTCCCTTTCCCCTGTATTTCACTGCATTTTGTAATTCCTTGAAATAAAGCATTTTCCAATTCTTGCTGTGGTCATTTCTGTGCTTCATGGCAAAGAAAGTGAGGGGAGCATGTGCTTCCATTCACTCCCTGGGGGAGTTTCAATGACTATAATTAAATTTATTTCTATTTTTTTTTATTAGCATACAATTCATGTACCATAAAATTTACGAGTTTAAAGTACACAATTCAGTGCTTTTTAGCATGTTTACAGGGTGCAACCATTACCACTCTGTAGTTCCAGAACATTTCATCACCCCCAAAAAGAACCCTGGTACTCATTAGCAGTCACTCCCCTTTCTCCTTTCTTCCCAGCCCCTGCCAGCCACTGATCTACTTTCTATCTTTATGGACTTGCCCCTTCTGGACATATCACATAAATGGAATCATACATTATGTGGACTTTTGTTTCTGGCTTCTTATAATTTAAATATCAAGGAACAGTGGAGCTTCTGTATTGGTCAAGACTCCTTTGGTCACAAGTGGTAGAGACTACAACTCAGACTACCTTAGGCAGAATGAATGAATGAGAAATGGAATGTATTGGCTCTTGTAATTAAGAAGAACACAGGTCCAGCTATATCCAGGGCTCCAAGTGTCTGCAGGACCCAGTCTTACTCTCTCCATCCCTCAGCTCTGTTTTCTTCAGTGTTGGCTCCATTACTAAATACGTTTTCCTCTGGCTGTTCTCTTCAGCAACCCTAGCAGAAATGGAGATTATCCCAGAACTGAGACTCAGGGGACCATGTAGGTCATGTGCCCATTTCTGTGCCTAGCATTGTGGCTAAATGAGATGGAATACTCTGGCCCAGGCCAGTGCCATGTTCATTCTAGCCCTGAAGAAACATCATCCAGGGGAATCTGATATCCCTATGATCTAGGCCTGGATCACACGCCCCCCTCTTGAAGTCAAGAGTAGACTTAGCCCACCTGACCACATGAGTTGATAGAAGGGAAGGGGTCTCTTAGCAAAAAGAGGGAGAAATGGGTATTGGGTAGGCAAATCTACAGATGTCCACTAAAGTATCAGTGTTGAGAGGGTCATTAGGAATCATCTAGTCCAACCTCCTCAACTTACAGATGGGGAAACTGAGGTGTGTTTTCCCTAGCTCCCCTGAATCACTAGCAGAGTTGTGTGGCCCTTGGCCTGTCAAAGACCCCATCCAAATCCACCCCCATTCCTAGGCTGGTGATCAGATAAGTCAGCAGCAAAGAAAAGCATTTTCTATTGCTTTGTTTTCCTACCCAAATTCCTCCTAACACGTCCTTTTTTCATGCTGTAGGTGACCTAGCCCCAAATTTATCATGTTTGCCAGGCTGTCTGGATGGGGGCCTTTGCGCTGGAATAAAATATCCATGTGATCTGCTTCTGCACATCGCAAGTGACTGTGAAGTCTTTCTGGGGCACTTAATGGTCACAACCCTAAGGCATGTGTAGAGAAGGGTGTATGATAATGGGATTATTAAAATTGCCTTGATTACAGTAATTTCTCTGACACTGGCCATGGCAACCTCTTTCTAGATATGTCTCCTGAGACAAGGGAAACAAAAGCAAGAATAAACTATTGAGACAACATAAAAATAAAAACTTCTGCAGAACAACTGAAACAACCAACAAAACTAAATGACAACCTACAGAATGGGAGAAGATATTTGCAAATGACATATTTAATAAAGGGTTAGGATCCAAAATATATAAAAAAACTTACACAACTCAACACCAGAAAAACAAACAATCCAGTTAAAAAATGGGCAGAAGACCTAACAGACATTTCTCCCAAGATGACATACAGGTGGCCAACAGACACATGAAAGGATGCTCAACATCACCAATCATCAGAGAAATGCAAATCAAAACCACAATGAGGTATCACCTCACACCTGTCAGAATGGCTAGAATAAAAAACACAAGAAACAACAAGTGTTGGTGAGGATGTGGAGAAAAAGGAACCATTGTGTACTGTTGGTGGGAATGCAAACTGGTGCAGCCACTGTGGAAGAGTATGGAGGTTCCTCAAAAAATTAAAAATAGAAAAAAAATTAAAAATAGCACTACCATATGATCCAGTAATTCCACTTCTGGGTATTGACCCAAGGAAAATGAAAACACTAATTCAAAAAGACATGTGCACCCCTGTGTTTATTGTAGCATTATTTAGAATAGCCAAATTATGGAAGCAGTGCAAGTATCCATCAATAGATAAATGGATAAAGAAGATGTGGTGTGTGTGTGTATTTAATGGAATATCACTCAGCTATAAAAAAAGAACGAAATCTTGCCATTTGCAACAACATGGATGGATCTAGAAGATATAATGCTAAGTGAAGTAAGTCAGTCAAAGACAAATACCATATAACTTCACTCATATGTGGAATTTAAGTTAGAGTTAAAAACAAAAAAGAAAAGAAAGAAAGAAAGAAAGAAAGAAAGAAAGAAAGAAAGAAAAACCAAAAAAACCAGACTCTTAACTATAGAGAACAAACTGGTGGTTACCAGAGGGGAGGTGAGCAGGAGGATGGATGAAAGAGGTGAAGGGGATTAAGAATACACTTACCCTGATGAGCACTGAGTAATGTATAGAATTGTTTAGTCACTATATTGTATACCTGAAACTAATATAACACTGTACATTAACTATACTGGAATTAAAATTTTTTAAAAGTGCCTTAATTCATAGATATCTTCTTTTGTTCTTTCTGAAGAGCCCCCACAATAACTCTGTTCTAGGCCACCAAGCTATAACAGAAAGGAAACAGTCCCCATGAAGATAATTAAGACGTACAAACTTCTAGTTATAAACATAAGTAAGTCATAGGGATGAAAAGTACAGCATAGGGAATATAGTCAATAATATTGTAATAAAGTTGTACAGTGACAGAGAGTGACGACACTCATCATGGTTGCACATTTCATAAAGTATATAATTGTCAAATTACTATGTTGTACACCTGAAACTAATATAATATTACATGTCAAGTATACATTAATAAAAAAAAAAAAACAGTCCTCACCACGAAACGCACACAGTCTAGGAAAACAGAGATGTAAAAAGACGATTACAGTACCATGCTTCAGTGTTAACAGGAACATACAGTCAGGGTCCCAGCAGGAAATCGATGCCACACTCTAAAGGGATGATTGGAGAGAATTTAATGAAGGGACTGTAAAGAAAGGGGAGGGGAGAGTTAGTTACAGGAAGCAGAAAGGGATGGTGAAGCATGCCAGGGCCAGCAACAGCAGGAAGCTGCTACCACCCCTCACTGAGTTGGCATGAGCAGTTAGGGAACCCAGCAAGTACTGGAGCTACAGCAGAGGGCTGCCAAACAGGGGCTGTGGGCTTAGAGGAAGGGAGGCAGCTCTGCCCCACAAGGAAGAAACAGGTGGAGTAAATGTCTCAATCTCTCTTTCCTCCCACCCTCTGGTCTCGTGATGGTGCCTCCCACTGGCCAAACCCAACCAGAAGTCCAAGGGCAGTCCACAGAGGTCACCACTGGGACACAAAGGAGGGTGGAGAATAGTAGAGGGAGATTCTGGAGATTAAGCAGAAGATTACTCAGCTACAAAGAGTATCCAACCCAGACTAGGGGTGGGCGGAGGGGGTGAGTCTCCCAATAGGGTTGGCTACATGGAGGAAGGGTTTCCTAGGAAGACGGATGGTGGTGTGCAGAGGCACAGGCATACGAGAGGTATGCTATATTCAGGAAGCTACAAGAAACCTGGTGAGGCTGTAATTAAGGGACAGAGAGAGGAAGGGCCGATGAGATCAGAGGCTTGTTAAGTGAAACTTGCCATTCACCAGAAGAGGAGTAGATACAGCGCTGGGCTTCTCAGTCTCTGCACTACCAACATTTGTTGAGGCAGGCTGTCCTATGCACTGTAGGATGTTTAGCATCCCGTGTTTCTACCCACTAGATACCTGTAACAACCCCCCTGCCCCCAACTCATGATAATGAAAAATGTCTCCCAACATTGCCAGATGTCCCTGGGGCAAAATTATCTCAGTTAAGAACCACTGACTTGGGAGAAGATGGGTTTACTTCTGGGCATATTGAGTTTGAGGTAACTGTGAGACATTCTAGGGGAGATGTCAGATAAGCACTCGGGCTTGTGGGTTTGGAGCCGAAAACAATGGTCTGGGCTCGTGACTCAGATTTAGGAATTGCAAGCATACAACTGACCTGTATAACAGGATGGCCTGACACATAAGCATGATATGCATTTGCACACTGTAACTTCTCAAACTCCTTCAGTGAAATGTTATTTCTTCTCTTTCTCATTGACTTTTATGTTAGACTACAGAGAGAGAGAGGGAGGGAGAGAGAGAGAGAGAGAAGCAAGGGGGATGGGGAGTTTGATAGCACTGGATTGAGCTAAGCTAAGCATCTAGTTTAAGGGATGGAGGTCTGAGTTCAGTGAATATTTAACCTCATCCGGGCTTATAATCCTCTAATCACTGTCTCTAGACAAGGTGTTTATATTGCTCTAGCTTCTTCTCTTAGGTCTCTTTTGTTTCATTTAGTTTGAAATATCTAGAATTCTTAGAACACTTATAACCTTTTATAATATGGGATAAGCCTTTTTTATAGCAATGCTGCATGAGGGAGAGGCTATGTCCTTGATGATGAGAAGTTGGGAGAACCCTCACTTACTGATTCTGTAAATAAATCACAAGAGGCCAAGAGCCCACAAGAAGAGCATAAAGGTGCCAGGTGAGACCCCCCCAAAGGCAAATGTCTCCCCAAAAGGGGTGGGAATTTCATGTTCAAACTCATTTCTCCAACCTGACTGATGACTCACTCCAACTGTATTACAGTTGAAGCAGAATATGGATTGAGAGTGGTTTGTGCAATGGGGAGAAGATTTTACCTTTCAAAGTTACTCCTTTTTGATGTCAGATAACCCACCCCCACCCTCAGATGCTAGGTGACACATTACAGTCAGTGAAACTCCCAGGAATCAACAGACAACATAATTTGTATCTTGCCTCCAGCCTACGAATCACATCGGTTATGCAACAATATTTATTGACCACCTGCTGTATGACAGACGCACTTGGTGCAAGGGCTGTATCAGTGAATAAG